CATCAAACCGCCTCCCAAATTGCCATTCAGCCCCCAGCCGAGCTATCCAACTCGACCCGGGCCGCACTGGCGGCCGCCGCCGCGGAGCTGCAGGCGCAAGCCGCTGCTGCCGCCGGCCGGCCCATGCGCCCGGACGACCTCTCTTCAAACGGCTGCCCGCCCTGCGCCCCCGGCGGCGCGGGCTGCGCCGGCGGCGCCCGCGGTGCGCTCGCGCCGCCGGGCGCGCGGTGCGTGCCGCGGGGGGAGAGTTACTTCATCGGATGCCAGCTGGGCTTGATGCCCGTCCGCTCGCCTGCCAGCCGCGCCGCCCTGGGGGCCCACGGCGGCTTCGGCTACTGGCGGCAGCTGCTGCGGTTCGCAGCGTGGATGGCCGCCGTGTGGCTGGCGTGGCTGCTGGTTCTCATGGCGGTGACGCTGGCCATGCGGACCGGCCCCGGTGACGCGGTCAGCGGCCTGCTCGGTTACTTGCGGGTGAGAAGCCATCTCTGCCTCACACCTTTAGGCTGCCCTCGCTGTGTGCATTGCTCCCTCGATCTGGTTTGTAGCCTCCGCCCCGGTGCTGGCTCCGCCGCATGCCCGCTGCCGCATGCCCGCTGCCCGCGCGCCTAACCGCCGCCCGCCCGCCGCGCGCGTCACCCGCTGCCAGCTGGCGTGGGAGCTGCGGGCCCCCTTGGTGAGCTACTCGCTGATGTCACTGGGTTACGCCTTTTATCACACCGTGGGCTTCAACACCGTGCTCGGCTACGGCTCAAAAATGCGGGAGGTGCGCGCATCACGTTTGAATCAATGGAATTCGGGCGGATTCGGGGTATGCGGCAGGTGACGCTTGGACTCCGGGAGCTTGTGGCTGGCGGGGCCTGTGTCGCGCCTGTGGAGGCTGCAATTGTCGTCGCAATGACGAGGGAGCCGGTCCCTAGTTGTCGTGCAGCCCCCCCAAACTTTGCAGGCGGGCCCGGCACGGCACGCTGCGCCCACAGGGCCACGCCACTGCCCACCAAACCCCTGCGC